TCTAATACTAGGCATTTGCCATTTATCTAGAATAAAAGGGCCTTTGGCTTCTTTTGGTAGATGGCCAAAAGAGTGGCAGATTAAACTTTGAGTGAAGGTAGAGGCTAGTTTAGCTAAAGCATCAGCTACTTGGTTGCCCTTTCTGTAGCAGTGTTGAACAGTCGTATTTGCATTATGGACAACTTTTAAAATCCTCTCCACCACCATCTTTAGCTTCATGTTCTTTGTTCCTCTTTGGTTGATCATGTTGACAATGACCGTTGAGTCAAGTTCGAGAGCAAAATTAGTGAAACCTAATTGGTTGCACCATTTTCCTCCAAACTCTGCGGCTAAGGCTTCTGCCACATTATTGCTATCACAAATAACATGCATAGCAAAGGTCATGATACAGTCACCATTACCATCTCTGATTATGCCTCCTATGCCGGCTTTCCCACTTTCCTTTATGTAACTACCATCAGTGTTAACTTTGATAGTGCCATATAAAGGAGATTGCCATTGAACTTGCTTCCAGATTTGAATAGGTCTTAGCTTTTCTATCCTGCTACATAAAGTAGGCCATTGAGAAGAGGCCTCTCCATTAGGCATTAGCTTAGTAATGGTGGATTTGATAGTCCATACTACTTGATATTTCATGAAGTTGAATTGAAATTCTTCTGCGTGCCATATCTACAAGAGCTTCTCTGTTTTCAAATTTTCCAGCATATGACAGTTGGTGCGACTTGGAGACTCAAGGCATGGACTTTGTTGTTAGATTTCTCTTCCCACCACCTTTTGAAGGTTGCAGGAACAAGGGCCTATTGATGCCTAATTCCTAGCGGGTTGCCAATTGCATTCCAAATAAACATTGCTCCTTCACTTTCCACGAACACATGTTACATAGTCTCCACCCGTGGTGCACTATAACAAGAGCATCTAGATGTGATGTTAGTACCAAACCTACCAATCATGTTATCAAACGGCAATTTTCTTTTAAATAATCTCCAAGTTAGGAAAGACATTTTAAAAGGGATAGAGTGATGCCAAACCTTATTTAAGAAATTATTTTTTTGCTTTTTTGATCTAATAAGGTGCCAAGTAGATTTGTTAGCAAACAGATCATCATCAGAAATATTCCAAACAGGGAAGTCATCCTCCATATAATTACCTTTATCAATATTTATAATATACTCAGTAATATGTGAAGGTAGAACCTGGTTTAAGTTGTTCATGTCCTATTACCCATTGTAAAAGAAGCTATTTACTTGAGTTTTTGTAGACTTCCTGGTACCTTGACACAGGTGTGCTAGAGGACCTTTTTCAGTCCAGTTATCCCACCAGAAGCTGGAGGAACCATTTTGAATTTTTCAGTTAATGTGCATTTTAGCTTTACTCCTATTCTTCAATAGGTTCTTCCAGCTGTGAGAATCCGAGGAGTTAAGGACTTTACTCACGGGATGAGATCTCTTACAATATTTAGCTTCGAGGAAGGTGGCCCATAAAGATTGTTGCGTTCTAAACCTCCACTATCTTTTGATACTAAATATTTCAATCACATCTTGCATCTTCCTTATACTAATTCCACCTTCATCTTTGGGAAAGCACATGTTATGCCAAGAACTTGAGTGGTATTTATTCTTACCATTCGTAGATCCCCAGAATAAAAATTAGCAAAATACTTTTCCATAAGGTTAACAGTACCTTTGGGGGGTTCATAGCCGACAGAATATATGTGGAAAGAGATTGTAGAATATGCTTGATAAGAATGATTTTCCACCTGAAGATAGAATCTTTCCTTGCCATCCATTAAGCCTTTTGACAATTTTGGCTAACATGCCATCAAATAAACAAGTGTTCTTCCTCCCATGGTAGATAGGGCATCCCAGGTAAGTGAAAGGAAACTTTTTATCCATGAAACTAGAAGCTTGTCTAATTCTATTGATCCTGGAGGCAAGGGTGTTAGGAGAAGTAATGAAGTAACTCTTGTCGCTGTTGACTTTTTTCCCAAAAGCCTTTTCATACCTCTTGATATGCTTCTTAATAAGATTGATATATTATTTGTTTCCTCCATAGAAAATGACAATGTCATCTGCATCGGCTAAGTGGTTGATATTGGGTCCTCTGTTATCCATGCAAAATGGAGTGAAGTTGTCATATTCNCATTGAGCCTTTTGACAATTTTGGCTAACATGCCATCAAATAAACAAGTGTTCTTCCTCCCATGGTAGATAGGGCATCCCAGGTAAGTGAAAGGAAACTTTTTATCTATAAAACCAGAAACTTGTCTAATTCTATTGATCCTGGAGGCAGAGGTGTTAGGACTCTTGTCGTTGTTAACTTTTTGCCCAGAAGCCTTTTCATACCTCTTGATATGCTTCTTAATAAGATTGATAGACTGCTTGTTTTCTCCACAGAAAATGACAATGTCATCTGCATAGGCTAAGTGGTTGATATCCTCTGTTATCCATGCTAAATGGAGTGAAGTTGTCATATTCAAATAGCTTATTCAGAGATCTGGACAAGACTTCAGCACCAATGATGAACAAGGAATGGGACAAAGGGTCCCCCTACTTAAGACCATGGGAAGAAGTAAAGAAACCTTTCCTAGTACCATTGATAATAATAGAATGCCAGACTTCATTGACCAAGACCAAATGATGTCAATTCATTCCTCTGAGAATCCAAATTTCCTCATAACAGACACAAGAAAGTTCCATGACATTCTGTCGTAGGCTTTCTCCATATCTAGTTTGATAATGACGTTACCACCATAATTCCTATGGTTGATATTCTGAATGATCTCTTGCGCAAGAAGAATATTTTTAGTAATAGATCTTTCTTTGACAAAACCACTTTGATTCTCTGAGATGAGCTTGTGAAGCATAGGGTTAAGTCTTCTTGATAGAATTTTGGAAATAATCTTGCCAGTGAAGTTGCTTAGACTGATAGGTCTAAGTTCAAAGAAGTTGGTAGGAGACTCCACTTTAGGAATCAGGACAAGGCAGGCATGTGAGAAGAATTTGGTAAGTCTCTTCCCATTGAACACCTCTTGAACAAAATCAGTGATATCATTTTTGATAATATTCCAGCACTTAGGGAAATAAGTACCATTGAAGCCATCAGGACCTGCTGCACTTGTAGCTCCCATATCAAAGACTGCATCTCTGATTTCTTCAGTATTAGGAATAGAGTGAGAGATCTATTGTCCTCATCAGTGATTCTATGGGGAATGCAATCAAGAATGTCAGTATATCTGAATTGGTGATGAATGTCGAATCTCTTTTAGAAGTGGTGAATGGCAGTTTTTTAAATGTTGTCATCACCATCTACCCATCAGTCTCTATGATCTTTGATCCTGTGAAGTTGGAGTTTTCTTCTTCTTTTTCTGATTAAGGCGTGAAAGTACTTGGTATTAGAATAACCTTCTTCAAACCACTTGGAGTTAGCTTTCTGTTTCAGAATAGCATCTTGCATGGATATCTATCTAATGTATTCTGCTTGCCCTTTGTTCAGTTATTTTATAGAGGAATCAGTGTTGTTGTTAAAATCTAACTCCTCTAGTTCTTGCATTTTGGCTTCCCAAAGTTGAACATGTTCAAACACATTGCCAACTTCTTCTTTAGACCATTGAGTGAGTCTTTTGCTGAGCATATTTAGTTTCTGTTATAGTTTCCACAAGGCATTCCCACATATGTTAGTAGCCCACACTTCTTCAACCAGATTCATGAAGGTAGGCTGCTCAGTCCAGAAGTCGAGGAATCTGAAGTACTTTATGCCATTATTGTTTCTGTTATGACAACTAAGCAACAAGGGTCTATGGTCGGACCCAGTTCTTGGTAGATGCTTGACAATGTTATTTTGAAAGAGTTGGCACCATAGATCATTTGCAAAAATTCTATCAAGTCTCTTCCAAATCCTTCTTCTAGGATTCCAGTTGTTACACCAAGTGAATGTAGGTCCAACATAACCCAAATCCTTAACCTCACAATTGTCCATGCAAGAGCTAAAATCCAAGCTTTTGTATATTCTGTGAGGTCGATCCCCATATTTCTCATCCAGATCAAGAATAACATTGAAGTTTCCTCCAATGCACTATGGCCCATCAATCACCATATGAGTACCTTCTAAACTACTCCAAAGGTCTTTTTTTTCATTTGCATTGCATTTAGCATAGACAACAGTAAGGAACAGATTAGAGTTTTTCACCTCATTCTGCATTTTGATAGTGATTTGTTGATCATTGACACTAATCACACTGGTTTGATTGTTTCCTAACCACATGAGCCAAATTTTTCCATTGGTGTTGGAGATACAGTGTCGAAACTTGAGATATTTCATGTATTTATCAATCTTATTCATGCTAAAAAAGGTTCTATAATTGCTATGAACTCCACTTTGTTGATGTTGACAAGTTTTTTAAGCCTAGGCATAGCTTTCTTGGTATTCACTCCTCTAATATTCCAGAAAATTGCATTAATTATGGAAACAGTGGAGGGGAGATTAGTTTGAGCTACCTCCTTGAGAAGATGTATTAGCATTGCTTTTTTTTCTTCTTTTCTTTCTTTTTATTTTGATTTCTTCTCTTGATCATAGGTGAGAAATCATCCCCATCCTCTTTGCCATGCCCAATTTGTAATTGATCTTCAGGAATTACAACAGTGACTCTGTTGGGAGAAGTTACTTCAAATTGTTGTTGTGTTTCTCTCCTAATTGGAGCTGCTTCCGTGTGATCTTCATGTTCTTCAGGAATCAAGTTGACTGCCAGGTTAATTCCTGGTAGATTCTTAATGTCTGAAGGGACACTAGTTGATTCATTGATATACATCTGCCAGTCAGGGACTTTATCTTTTTTGGTGGCCTCAATATTGCTTGATTCTTCTTCTTCAGTATTCATGTGAGAGTTGTTTTCTTGTTACTCCTTCATAGTTGCTTCTATAGCTCCCTTGTTTTTGGAATTAGCTTAGATCTTGACATATTTAAAGGTAACCTTGGACTTCTTTTTAAGAATTTTCTTTTGTCTCCTAGCCTTGACTTTTTTGGTTGTTCTGCCCCTGCATCCTTTCCTGATTTTTAGCTTTGTTCTCATCACTTGGTTGTTCTTCATTGTTGATCTTATTGATGCTCTCATTCTTGTTGTTAAGCTCTACATTGTGTCCCTGTTTTCTCTGGGAGTGTTGTTCCAGGTTTATTCTGCTGCCTTCCCTTGTTACTGCTGCTATGTTCTCTTTTTTTTCCCCATCTTTTTTGGTTTCAAGATTCACCTCCTTGTCTTGTTTTGCTTCCCGCTCTTTCTTTTTCATTTCTCCTTTCCTTTCTAAAACTCTACAGTTCATCATGTTATGCCTAAGCTTTCTACAGTGTTTATAATACTTTGGGACACCCTCATATTCAAGTTTTTGAACAAAGCCTTTTTGAGGAGCATCATCATAAACTTGACCAACATAAACAGAATCTGGTTGTTGTTTTAGTAGGTCGATTTCAATTCTTACCTTAGCCATGCTAGGTCTGGCCTTTCCTCTCGTTGCCAAGTCCATTTCCAGTGGAGTCCCAACAGCGCTGACCACCTGTTTGACATACTGCCATCTGTGCATATGAAAATGTAGTCTTGGTAGCAGTACCCATACCGGTGCCACTGGTAGATCCTCTTTAGGCTTGAAGTCCGGAGACCACCTTTGTAACCACATTTGTTGTCCCTCAATTTCGACAACCCTCTTGTACCAGAAAAAATTGAAGTCTTCTTCATTGGTGAAATCCAAGAAAACGTTGTAGTTATCATAAACCCCAATCTTGACCGAGCCTTTAATAAAGATTAGTTCTTTGAATTTTGACCTAATTCGGTCAATTTGGGGCCTAGGTTTGAGAAATTTGCCCACTATTGTGAGCCTACACTCATCTGCCATGATGCCATAGTAATCCGACGCCTTGAAGAGTACCGCCGGCATTCCATTGTGTGTGGTGTGTGTTGCTATGACAGATTCTCTTGCATGTTGATTTGGGGCTGTTGGGAATTATTTGGAAGTGAAAACCTTGGTAGCATAGGACAATTTTCCATCACTAGATTCAGTGCTCTGTTTAATTGGAGGGTTGAGATTGGATTGGCCATCCAGACGCGCCAGCGGGACACCGTCCGGTGGATCCATGAGGAAGGAGCGTGAGGGAACTCGCTTATGAAAGAGCCGTTATAGATCCGTTTCTAGAGAGAGAATATTAGGTGAACTTGAGAAATAAAAATTCCCAACTTTACTATTGATATAAAAGGGTAAAAAGAAATATACCATGTCTCACTGGATAACTAAATTAAGGTCAGAATTGTATGTATAAAGGAAAAGTAAGCATATGCTGTCACCCCAAAAAGAGAAACTATCTGTACGCTCGATAAAACGGTATGTCACTGCAATGTCATCTGTCCAAAGTGTGTTTGCGAATTAATCAGTTATAACACCACCAAAAAAAAAAATGAAAAAAATGGATGAAGAAAAGGAAAACCTCTTAGATCACTCACCGCCGTTTTCTGTATACTACTGAAGTAGCTGAGCTTTTATTCACATGTTTTTTTCTCTTTTCAGGGAATATAAGCTTTGATATGCAGAAGAATTATAATATTAGTACCTATACTTATACAATTATGTAAAGGCTGTCAAACGTCGTGCATGTTATGATAAATTCCACATGTTCCCAGTTGTAGTTTCTTCTATTGTTGGTAAATAAGGATTCCCCTAGTTTTACCTAAAGAAGCAAGCTAATTAGTAAGTCTAACAACAACAAAAAAAAAAAAAAAAAAAAAAAG